CAGAGAAACCTGGGAGGGCTCTGAAGATGAAGTGCCTTGGGCTGCACTCTCTCTGTGATCTGATGCAAAGTAGCAGATCTGCTGTTTTGAGGGAGTGCCTGTTTGCATCCACTTATGACCGCAAGCTTCTTTTCTTGTAGGTGGCCTGCATTACATGGGGAGGGGGGCATACCAGCGCACTTACTGATGAGGGGGGGGTGGGGAGAGACAATAGTCGTAGACTGGAGGCCAAAACGGATAGAAAGGGGTTAATTTTCAAAAGCTGTGTATAAAAATAAATGGACTGGCCAGGGGAGAGAATAAATTCTACAGTGAAAAATTCCTGGAGGCGTTAAGAAGTTCTAATGCAATCACTCCCTGTGCTGTCAACCAATAGATTGATGACTAAGCAATGCAGCTAAGAAACTGAGACAGTTTACCCATTACGTTTTATTTATTTATTAATTTAAAATGAAGACAGTTTTCTGGTCATTGGTTTGCTGACATTCCCCAACTCCGTGAGGTTATCATATAGTAAAATGTCCAATTATGAACAAAGGTCGCACTGGTTCAAGAGGCATATTCCAAAACCAAACTCGTAATCTCTTTTATAAGGACTAACCTAAATGCCATGCAACAGTGTGCAAGCTTTCAAACTGGCTAGAACATTTTAGACTCTTTTTTCAGGAAATTATAAATAGCTCAGAGGGTTAGATGCTAAGGCGACTTCCACACAGAAATGATTCTTTGTGTAGCCGCTGCAAATACAGAGACGGCAATGAAGAATCCATCCACACAGCAGTTTTCCTCACACTTCCCGTGCATCAGCTCCCTTCCCACAGCCGTCACTCCCTCCCCTTCTACTGGAGGGCCAAAACCAGGAGTTGCTAGATCCCAATAGAATTGCAACATTATAATTGTGTCTCGCAAAAATGTGCTGGCTTCTAGCTTTCATTTTTTAAAGATAGTCTCCAACCCTTTTCCTTGTCGAGTTACAAGGGGTAATGGGCATCCTGCACCTTTCCCTTTATGATTCTGTAATGAAAAGCATTAGAGTCTCCCCCACCCTTTTTAGTGATAGCTGAGAATCAGTAAATTGTGGCACTGAATTGTTTTCCTATATATATAATTCCCTTACATATTGGCCATTTCCAGCTCTCCCATTGGCTGTGCAGTGCGCTCCATCAGCCATTAACCCATCAACCACCACTAAAAAGTACTCGCGTGCCATTGGCTGGGTGCTGGGTCCGTTCCTCCCCCCCCCCTGCCACCCACTGCCAGCCTGGACACTCTTCCATCACAAAAAACCCCTGCCAAAACGGTTATCTCTCCTGAAGAAGACACTTCTTCTTGGCTCCTATGGGACTAACTTTTCCCTCAGTGGCTATTGCTAGGCAACCAAGCTTGGTTCTGTCAGTAAAAAGACAAAGGAAGGAAGCTCTTTCCAGGCCTTTGTGGGGAGCTCATTGGGGCCAGTCCTGACTAGGGTTACCAGTTCCAGGTTGGATATTCTGTGGTGGAGTCTAAGGAAGCCAGAGTTTGGGGACAGGAGAGGCCTCAGCTGAATAGGCCATAGAGCCCACCCTCCAAAGCAGTTATTTTCTCCGGGGGGGGGGAGCTGTTGTCTGGAGTTCAGTTGTGATACCTGGCGATCTTCAGGCTCCACCTGGAGGTTGGCTACCCTAGGTGTAGCACTTAGCGCTTCAGAGCAGGGTCTGCTAAACCCAGGTTCTTGCTGTGAAAGTCGAGTGGGTGATTTCAGACCAGTCAGACTTTCAGCCTAATCTACCTCACAGGGTTGTTGTGCAGATCAAAAGCAGGAGAGGAGAATGATGTAAGCGGCTTTGGTCTCCACTGCGGAGAAACACTGTACTTTTCCTCCTGGGAAATCATTGCTGTCAATCTCCAGGTGAGGGCTGGAGATCACCCAGAATTAAAACTGCTCTCCAGATGGTAGAGATCAGGGGCAAATAACGGTAGATTGATGGTTGGCTGGGAAGGAGATAGGGTTGCCAACCCCAGGTTGGGAAATTCCTGGAGATTTGAGGGGTTGAACCTGAAGAGCGTGGGGTTTGAGGAGGGGTGGGACCGCAGACAGGTACAATGCCGTAGATTCTACCCTCCAAATCAGCCAGTTTCTCCTGGGGAACCATTCTTGCCAATCTCCAGGGGAGGGCTGGAGATCACTCAGAATTACAATGGTTCTTCAGATGGAAGAGATCAGTCCCCCTGAAGAAAACAGTAAGCTCTGTGTCATTATACCCTGCTGAGGTCACCACAGCAAATTGATGCTGAGTGCCCAAAGCCAGGGCACCCTCCCAGAGCCTCTTTCTAGAGCTTGTTGTATTTATTTCCACAACAGGCCTTATTCTTAGTAACATCATAATGTAATCTGAGAACAGGACCCCAAGCCGTGTCAGAGTCCTTTTTTTTTTGCGATATAATACTTTTACTTAAATTTTATGTACACAGCAAAGTCTTTGAATGTCTTGGCAGCACATTTCTGATGACAAAACAGACCATCGCCCCCAAAGTGGTTACGTGGCTCTTCCCGTCGAAATCATGCATGTACTTAATACATATATACAGGGGTCTTTTGGGGCCGGAGTGCGCTGGAGCACCGTTCCAGGAGCCCAGGAGCTGGCAAAATGGCGGCGGCAGCAAGCCCTGCCCCCAGCTCCCCCCCCCACTATGGCCTCTCGCCGGCCTTCCGGGCCCATGCTGAAGCACTGCAGTCCCAGGGAGGCCCGAGGAGGCCCATTGCTGTTTTCCCAGGGCCTGCGCCGGAGCGCTGCGGCCCAGAGGAGGCCAGGAGAGCCCCCCCACCGCCTCCCTGGGCCAGCGCCGGAGCGCTGTGGCCCAGAGGAGAGCCCCCCCGCCACCTCCCTGGGCCAGCGCCAGAGCGCTGCTGCCCAGAGGAGGCCAGGAGAGGGGGGACCCCACCGCCTCCCTGGGCCAGCGCCGAAGCGC